AAATTAGCGAGTTTCTATGGTCGTAAAAAAGTAGAGGTAGTGTATGTATATTGATAAAGGAAGATATAGGGTGGAATGAAATAAAATTTACTTCTGTTTTAACAGAATCCGAGCATTTTGAATGTTGTGGAATAGAAATTCCTTTACATAATATTTACCTAATATGCATCTATTGTACACCTGGTTCGAATGTGAATACATTATTTTTTAAACAACAAAACTTATTGTCAAATTTTATAAATAATCACAATAAAATAGTAATTATTACTGGAGACATTTTAATAAATTACATACACATTAATACCTTGGAAAATAGTAAAAATATAATTGAATTAAGTGACATCATTTCGAATTATAATTCGAATAGACATATTAATGAACCACCAAATCATGTATTTAGTAATTTAATTAATTCAGCAACATGTGTTAAAAAGTTATATTTATAAGATCATGAATCGACGCAAATATTATCTATCGATGTAAATAAACAGAGAAAAAGAGGAAGTTTATGAGAACAAAGATATTAATTCTGCATACAATAAATTTATGGAACTTTCTATCGTATTTTATAATATATGCTTTACGATGATTAAGACAAAAAACTAGACGTGAAATATAAAATAACTTGATTACAAAAGGTCTGAGAAGTCTCAAACATCCTCACGTCAAACCACACTCATTGCATAACATGGATATGTTGCAACAATATTAAGATACCCCAGGACAGAGACATGAGGACAGGAGGAGATAGGCCGCAGGAGTCGAGCGCGAGTGAGTGACTTGACACTATTAGGTATTTTATATCAATAATTTCATGAAGTATAAAGGTAAGGTAAGATCCATCTGTAAGAAGTAAATAACAGTTCAAAAACTCTCCACAATAACGCTGGCGTAGCTAGCGTTTAAGCAGGGTATGAAATGAACTTAGTAGATGGCGACGAAGTGAAGTGTGCTGAGTTGAGGAATTTAAAATTTGTAGTGACTAGAGTAGTTGATGAAACTGCAGTATTTAAAACCTGAACTACTCACGTCCTCTAAAATAATTTAGTAAATATAAAACTAGAAAAAGTCACCGTGAAACACCTTGAGCGCTAAACCCAAAAATAACAAGAAAAAGAAATAAGAACAATACCTACTTTTTTTTTTAAAAGAGGGTTTTATAAAATTATTATAATGTCACCCCCATTGTATTTACATATTTTTTTATCTTCTTTTAAGTCCAACTTGGACCATTTTGTACAGCATTCTGGCTTCCCCAGATAATGGCAAGGCCAGAATACTGTTACAAAATCCGATATCTAATCTATTTATATTATATTTATTGCAAAAATTTGCTCTTTCAGCCTCGATTCGAACACACTCCACCAAAATATGTAATACATCTTCTAACTGATCACATTCTACACAGTTAGGGGATTCGGTCTTTCCCATCAAAAAAGCAAAGCTATTCATTGGTATGTGTCCCGATCGAAGTCTTAGAGCTGTAACAATATCGGCCCTGCCCATATTGGCCCTATCTACCCATGAAGAAGTGGAAATATTTGGTTGAATAGTTTTATACCATATTGCTTTTGTAAGAGATCTCTCATTAAAGTATTCCTTCCACAGACTGACACATCTTTCTTTCACCTTGTATAGAAAGTCTGAAAAATAAGGTAAACAATGCAGTAAAATACCGTCAGAGGAAGCTTCCTTTGCTAGTCTATCCGCCGCTTCATTACCTACTAGGCCAATATGAGCAGGGATCCACTGTAAAACAACAATTATATTTTTTTTTGGTTAAACTATCAATACACTTCAAAATACTGTAGGCTATCGGTGTTCCTCGAAAATTCGAGGTACAACGAGCCAAGTGTTGCAGAGCACTCTTAGAGTCTGTCAAAATAACATACTGATATTTGTGATTGAGTGATGCAATGTACGATACAGCTTCTGAAATTGCTATCAGTTCAGCATACATTATAGAAACGTTTGAATTAATTTTGAATTTCATTGATATGTTTAACTGAGGGTCATAAAAAGCAGCTCCAATATTATTATTATTATCTTTAGATCCATCGGTATAAATTTTATAAGATTGCAAATATTTGTCATGAATAAATTTTAAACTTATTTGTCTCAGAACCACATTGCTATAGTCGTGTTTAGGTTTATCAATAGTCTCAATAAGAGAAAGTACAATACCAGAAAGATCCACATTGCTAACCCAGGTATCTAAGGAGAACATTTCAAGTTGCGTGGAGGTATGAATATTAGAGCTTTTAAGAAAATTATGTACGACTGCCAACAGAGGTTTCTTTTTCTTACATGATGGATGAGTCACGAAATATTTGTCTAACTTATCTAATACTATAATTAATTCATTATCTAAAAGTGATTTTGTTTTCAGCTAGAATTTTCCTGCAAGATAATACCTTCGTATATGTAGCGGCTCAATACAAAGCTCATTTTCCATCACATGGATTGGCGTGCTTCTTAAAAATCCACCAATAACTCTCATAGCTTGATTTTGCACTCGTTCTAATTTTTTAAGGTGCGTTACACTACTTCTATCATAGAGGAAACAAGCATAATCAATTCTGCTTCTTATGATTGTGATATACAAACGACACAAATGTGATGGATGTAGACCCCACCCTGGCCCAGACAAACATTTGAGAATATTTAGAAATTTAAGCGTTTTTTCGCCAAGTTCATCTATATGTTTTCCCCATCTTAGACCACGATCCAACCATATACCTAAATATTTTATACTATCAACTACCTCTAAGGAAAAGCCATTAATTTTTAAGTCTATCAACTCACGTCTAAATCCACAAGAGAACAAACACACTTTACTTTTTATAGGAGACACATCTAGACCTATGTTGAAAAGCAGTGATCTTACTAAATCCAATGCCTCTTGGAGATAGTCAACAGCTTCTAATAAATTTTTACGGCGCACATATATAACAAAGTCATCTGCATATTGTGATATGCGAACCTTTTGTACCTCTTTGCATATTTGTGTCGTAATTATGTTGAATAGCAGTGGTGATAATGGGTCCCCCTGAGCCAATCCTCTACCTGTATTTCGGCAAATTATGGCATTGTTAACTTGAATCTTTAATGATCTTTGACTGAGAAAATTCCATAGGTAATTACATATAGCTGAACCTATACCAAAACGATCCATAGCCTGAATTACACTAGTAATATCCACGTTATTGTATGCGTTGTCTATATCTATAAAACAACCAATTGTAGCTATTCTACTTGTTAAGCCTAACTGAATTTCAGATACCAGACTAGAAAGGTTATTTAACGTTGAACGACCTCTTCTAAAACCTTTTGTGTTATTCGATAAAATATTATTTTTTTCAATATACCATTCTAATCTGTTTTTAATAATAGTGTGAAATATTTTACACATACACGAGATCATAGAGATGGGACGTAATGCTGAAACTAAACTATTATCTCTCCCTGGTTTAGGGATTGGCACAATTAATATATCTCTCCACTGATTAGGGACAAAACCACCCCATAAAAACTTATTATATAAATCAAGCAATAAGCATTTTCCATTATTTGGGAGATTTTTAATCATGGAATATGAAATATGGTCCGCTCCTGGGGACGTGTCAGTACTCATTACTAATTCATGTAATGAGATTTTGGTTTCTAATTTTGGATTAGTAGATAGAACAGCAGGTTTCATGGGGGAAACAAAATCAGGTGTTAAAGTATTAATCAATTCGGAAGCTAAATCCTTATCAATAAAATGGTTGTGAGCCCTGTAACCCTTCAACCATTTCATTTTACGCCACAAGTCATTTTGAGAGGCTGAATGATCAATGGTAGAACAAAACTCTTGCCAAGCGTTGTTTTTCGCTGTTCGTATTAATTTTTGCGCTATATGGATTTTATCTTTTAGGATATCAAAATTCTGTGGAGTAGGGTTTCGTCTAAATTTTGATAGTGCCAACCGTCGTTCAGCAACTGCTTTAGATAGTGCAGAATTCCAATAGGGTAAAGGTTTAAATTCGTTGCTTGGGTCATAGTTGATTTTTATAGGAGGGATGTGCTCTTTAGCCGCTTCGTTAATGCATTCAATGAATAAATCATATGCGTTTTGTAGGTCTTTAGGTAGTGATATACCTGAAAAATTTCTGTGAAGCGCATCTTTGTACCCAATCCAGTCGGCTTTCTTAAAGTTTCTTCTTATAACCTTCATATTACTAGTTTTAATATTAATGGATATTTTAATTATTTGATGATCACTGCCTAAAGTTTCATTTATTATGGCCCAATCGAGTTTTAGAGCGATATCCGCAGATGAGAAAGAAATATCCGGGGAGTATTCCTGCAAGCTACCGTTAACTAACTTAATGCGCGTTGGTCCACCATTGTTTAATGTTATTAACGAGTTATCTATTAACGCGTCAAAAATCTGAACTCCTCTAGAGTCTGTTTTCATTGACCAAGTATTATGGTGTGCATTGAAGTCGCCAAGTAAAAGCGATTTTTTATTGATAAAAGATAGTAATTGAACCCAATCATTAACGGTTGTATGTACAGAAGGAGGACAATAAACAGCCATAATGTTTTCAATATCAACACAATTGTAAACCTTTAAATAAAGAATCTCTATGCCCGGGTTAACTATTGGCATATTTTGTAAGCTACACTTAACTGCTTTGTGGGTAATTATTGCTACTCCACCGTAGGAATCGAAACGATCCCTACGGTGTATGTTATAGTTACTAATTTTTAATGGGCTGTCCTGCTCTAACCATGTTTCACTTAGAACCGCAATGTGAATCTTTTCCTGCGACAGTAACTGTTCAAATGCAACTAGCTTAGGTCTGATAATTTGACAATTACACTGGATAATATTTATCTTAACATGTTTTTTTGTACTATCCATTTAAATAGTCCAGTAATAATTTTAAAATAGGCCAATCCGAAATATTATCCACTGCAACTAAAATCAACCATTCCACACAACACTTTATCACCTCCTTTATCTTGTCTTGTATAGATGCATTTCTTAAAAATATGATCTCTTTCAGTCTATTTAATAATTCACTAAAGTTCACTTCCTTTTTCGGAGGTGTCTTGGCCTCCAAATGGACCATTGTTGGTGTATCCATGGAATTAGCGTGGCGTTCAGGGGAGACAGCTCTCCTGGCGCCTAGCCGCGGTGTCTTCTTGATCCGGACGTTATGTTTCGGTTCCGATTCGTTATGTACTATTGCCTCAGTCTTAACCACCTGAGCAAACGTAACCTGGTCATGTTCGCGGCCCTGGTTATATGAGGTAGACTGAGCTTGCGGAGCTTCCGACCTTAAACCGGTTATTTTACTGTTCGAGGTGTTTGTCTCTTGCACCGGAGAGCTAGGTGTTACAATAATTGTAAGCGCTTTTCTATATGTACAATTAAACTCTGCCATCAATTCCCTCAGTCTTTTTTCCCGCTGATATGCTGGGCAGGTCCTGGCCAAGGACATGTGATTACCTGTACAATTAACACATTTTTAGGTATTTATATTACAATTTTCATGGTTTTCGCCGCACTTAGGATACACTACTTTGTTATATGGGCATTTTTTAATTGTATGGCCTAATTTCCAACAGCGCGAACACTGTGACACCGGAAACACATATGGATCCATTTTAATCCTGAAACCCTCAACGTGTACGTATGCTGGTAGAAACGATCCCTTGAAACAAAGTTGTATTGATTCACTAGGAACCCAACCACTTCCTGTTGCACTTCGTCTTTGCAGTCGCTTGATGGAAAGAAGTTCTGCATTGTTGGGACATGAAATGTTCTTAAGTATTTCCTCATCACCTAGTTCCATATCAACATCCCTAATAACCCCATATGAAACGCTTTTTTCCATAGCTTTTTGAACTTTCCAACCCCTTTCAATCAACGCTTTACATGTTTCCAACTTGGTTACACTCATCTCATTAGTAATATCTAAACGCACTTTGTACGGGTTTAAATATTTAACTCTAGATATGTCTAAAATTTGTTGCTCCTTCAACACCCTAGCTAAGCCAAATTGCTTAGGTAACTTCTCATTACTTGAAATATACACCTCAATTTTATCGTGCCCAACTTTAACAATCTTTTCTTTTCTCTTTACCAACATCCATTCATTTTCTTCTTCATCCCTGTTTCTTTTACTTTTACCTATTTTACTACACTCGCTATCCATCTGTGCCTGAGATATTATTTCATCATCGTACTGGTCCAATTCAAATTCCGATTTATTTAACTCCATATTAGGACTGCTACTCGACGTCCGCAGTACATCAGCGCTAAATTCATTACGCACAGTATACTCGTCCATTATATTAACAGACCTAACGTCCGGCACTTAGATAAAATGCATCGCTGCAGTTAACAGCAAACCGGTTTGGCACGCCGCGACACAGCGCGTAATCGCGCGCAGTATAGATCGTTGATTCACTTAACGTAAACAACTTAACGCACAGTATAAACAACTACCTCGTACGCTTAGCGACACGAGACTGAACAATACCTACTTAGTAATATATATCTACATAATAAAATTAACACCGTAAAAATGGCACCGACTTCAAACGCATGAGTAGGTTTATAGCCCCTATAATATTATTTTACTTAAATTATTAGGTAACATGATTAGAAATTAATTGTAATTGTGTAAAAAAATAATCTTAACTTGTAAATAAATAGTTTTGATGATAAACTAATAGGTATTGTATAAAGGTATTTATAGAATAATATTTTGAATAGTTATAAGATATTGAATATATTGAATATATATAATTGAATACATAATATATTGAATAGTTATAATAACTGTTTTCTTGGACCTACAAAAAGCTTTTGATACAGTGTCGATTCCTATATTGCTTAGCCGTTTGGAAAACATGGGTATAAGAGGTGTAGTCTACAACTGGTTTAGGGACTATCTATCTGATAGGCGACGACGAGTCAGGATTGACAAGTATGCAAGCAACACTTCCACTTGCTCTTACGGTGTGCCACAGGGGAGTACCTTAGGACCTTCGCTCTTTATTATTTATGTAAATGAATTGTGTAAAATCAATATCAAAAATGCCGATTTAACTATCTTTGCTGACGATACTGCATTGATTTTTCATGGTGACACTTGGGACAAAGTTGCAAAATGCACAGAAAATGGTCTGAGGTCAGTGACTAGTTGGCTTGAAGACAATTTACTATCACTTAATGTTTCTAAGACCAAATACCTATGTTTCGTTAAGACCAATGCTACTCTTCCAACTAACAACTTTAAAATTACTCTACACATGTATCCGTGCAATCGTACTATAAACTTTACACCATGTCAATGTAGTAATTTAACCAAGACTGATTCTATGAGATATCTAGGAGTGATAATTGATAATAAATTAACTTGGGATGCCCATACTGATGCAGTAGCTAATAAGCTAAGAAAACTCATTTATATATTTAAAAATTTACGAACAGTAACCGATAGCAAATTACTTATCAAAACATACAAAGCACTGGGAGAGTGTCTCTGTACCTACTGCATTTGTGCCTGGGGCGGTGCCGCTAAAAGCTATTTAATAAAAGTTGAACGCGCACAAAGAGCTATTTTAAAAGTCATTTTTCGTTTACCATTTCGCCAATCAACAGTGTCTTTGTATGACAAAGCGAAAGTGTTATCCGTCCGCAAAACTTTTATTTATCAATGTTTAAGGAGGTATCATCGCGTCACTGTCCCTAAACTAATACGAAGCAATAAGAGAAAAGAACGATGTCCTGTTCCAAAACCCAAAAGTGCTGTGTTTAGAAGACATTTTGACTTTTTAGCCCCTAGGCTATATAATAAACTTAACAGATGTCATAACATAAGATCACTAAACAACTTTGAAGTGAAAAGCAAAATTATAGACTTGCTGAAAATTTTTGATTATGAATGTACGGAGAGCCTTCTTTCTTTGGACATGTAAATAACACACGCTAATACAGACACACACACACTCACGCACACACACACACACACACACACATTTGCAATAGTGCCAACATAATTTTTTTTCCCTCTTTTTTACTGTCATAAATTTTACATTTTAAAAAATACTTGTTAATATTATATAATAAATAAACATTATAAATATAATACATAGATAAACAAATTATAGAAATGGAACTAAGAATAGGGAAGGAAACTAGCCCCTGAAATACAGGTATTATATCCTAGTTTAGGGGCTAATGACCACTGTAATTTTGGTGCATGTAATATGTTTATCAATAAAGATTATTATTATTATTATTATTATTATAAGTAGGTAGTTTTCATAAGTCAAGTTTTTTGTTTATTTAGTTATTGTAAAAATTTAGTATGAATGTAAGTACGTTATTATAAACGGAATTAGACATCCAACAAAAGAGACTTGTGCACATTTTTCTTCTTTGAATTAAATATATAATCAAGTTTATTTTTCACTTTTTAGTGCAGTAAGTACTGCCTTTTTTGTTTTGAAGTCGGTTTAATTTTTTTTAAAAGTTTGTTTATTTGTGTAATGTTCTGTAGATTATATATATGTACTCTTTCATTATGACGATCTCATTGATACTATTTATAATAATTGATATGAAGGTTGTAATTTTAATTTTATTTGATTTAATTGAATAATGCATACTTAAATTTTTTGCTTGAAATGTTGATTGATCAATTGCATGTAAACGTAATTCTTCATTCTGAGTAATTAATTTTCCAATACAATGTAACATTGTTCTATCGGATAAATGACTATGACTATGACTATGACTATTGTAATTTTAACATTTTTAATTTATATTTATTTGTTTTAAATTTATTAATGTAAATGACTATATCTTTTCATTTAATTAATAATTTTCATGCCAGATGTGTTTATCATGTGGACTATGTACAATATGCAGTATTTGTCAACTCTGATGTACAATGTTTGAGCGAATAAATGATATTATTATTATTATGATTATTATAACAATGTGCTTTTTATATCATTTATATGTTCAATATGATTGTTAGATACGATTGTATGCCACAAAACGTTGAATTCTTGATTTTTAGGCCGCAGTAGAGCATATCTACGCGTCTTGCTCTTGAAGCATGCAGTATTGTTAAATATATACTAACCCATAGCGTCCCGAAGGTGTCGTTAGAGGCGACAAAAGGAAAATGAAACAGGAGATGGCAAGTATTAATTCTCTGATAATAACTCAAAATAACAAAAAACTGCAGTTAATGGGTGCGTTTGGCAGAAAAAAGCGCTAGCAAGCGCTTGTAAGCAAAATGGCGATCGTAAGCGGTAAGCACTGTCAAATCGTAAGTAGCTATTTTCCTCCAGGACACGATGTTAGTTTTAACCGGGGAATCTAACCTAATTTAAATATATGTTTGTAAATTATTCATATTAAAAACTTACCAATCATGAATTTTTAATAACATGTATATGTCTATTCATGTCATTATATTACTTAAAACTTATATTGCACAAAACAACTTATAATTTCTACTTCAAAACAAACAAATTAAATAAGAAAAATGGCGGATTGTGTCAGCGCTACTAAAGTAGCAATCGTGTCCTGGCCGAAAACTATTTTAGCGCTTGTAAGCGCTTGCTAGCGCTTTTTTCTGCCAAACGCACCCATTAATCCGCTTGTCAAGCGTGGCAAATATAGTGAAATCCCCCCCTTCCCCCTCCCATTAGGCAATCTATGAGAGTGGCCCATGTTCAGCAGTGGACCTTTATAGGCTGTAGTGAATGGATCGATGGTATAAATTACCCATCCCAAAGAGTTTTAAAACGAAGGTGCAAAGTTTGTTTGAAAAATATTGTATTAAGACGCACAGCCAAAACCGCTGAACGTCGCATAAAATTGGCGTAAGTGACAGCAGCGAAAAATAAGTACTCGTATATTCAATACAGTCTGATTAAGTTTTAAATAGTAGAGAATTCAATGTTTTATACTCGTTATTAAGTCGTCAAAAACCCGATTTTCCAGTGCCTATATCGCTGGCTAAAACTTTAGAGATATGCAACAAAATAATGTACTAAGGAATTATGGTTCTCAGAAATGCTTAGTGTAAAGTATTTTTAAACATAAATAACACTACACCATGTATATAGCTCTCGTACGAAGTTGGGATGGGTTGCAAGTATGAAACGAAAATGACGCAAAACTTTTATTGTATAGTAAGTTATTTCAACCGGTAGTATTATATCAATTAATTACAAAATATAAGCTTACGTACTTTCACTTTATATTAAGTTTTTAAACGAAACAATCATATAGCAATTAATGTTCCCTTAACCATCTTTGTCATCCTTTCCAAATCCTATTTGTCTTTATTGATATTAATATTGGACAATTGGACCCGATAGGTGGCGTTGTTATCGAGATGCAGAAATCACCCGTGCAAAGCCAGGGCAGATGGCTAGTGCTATACAAAAACTAAAATCTATCATGGTGAAATTTATGCTCTTTTAGCACGCTGAAGGCTAATTATAACTCTATATTTTAGTGATTTCTTTTCGGGAGCGATATGAAATTAAGGGTAAAAGTCCAATCGTAAGAAAACAAACAGAAGAAAACTTTCCAAGACTTTTTAAGTAACACCAGAAATTAAACTTCAGCAGAAGCTATGAATAAAACATCCAATTATAAGATCACGCTAAAGAAAATTTGTAAAATATTTTTCGTTTTGTAAGATTAGTATTGTTTTATGTATTCAAAAAGAATTTAAATGCAGTAATTATATTTATCTTATATAAAATACATTTAAAAGTTACTTTAAAACTGCAAGTATTTGTTAAAGATCACATACAATGCCATTTACATATATTATATGCTACGAATTTAATTAAACTTCGTGTGCAAGAGAATGTCGAAAACATTTAACAAATTGAATTATTCCTTCGTTGTAGGTGAACTACACTTTGAATTTGTTAAATTATTTATTTAGGAAATTAAGAAAGTCATTGAAATTATTAGTCTTCAAAGACCATCGAAAAAATGAAACAGTGAAACCATTAATTTTTTTGTGTAATAGCAGATATGGGAGATACAGATATGATCAGGATGTAGAATGACAATTGAAAGCAGGAAATAAAGTAAATGGGGCTCTACATTCTATTGAGGAAAGTAAGAATGTATCAAAAAAGTCACGTAGTGCATGCAATTCACAATGTTGTGTTAGACCCTACTTTAACGTATAGTAGTAAAATTGGGTACGACAGAAGATGCATGAGAGTA